AGATCAGGCCATGGGGTCTCTTAGTGCCAGGCCAGGCCAACCCAGGCAGCAATAGGGGCAGGCCAAACAAGGATCTCCTTTGTCAAGTTTTATAATTTATATTTGGCCAGAAAGTTAACTTTTACTTTAAAATATCAAATTTATTTATGAAATGTTTATTTCTTAGGTATCCTTATTTTCGTAGTTTCCTCGGGATCTGTAGGCACATCATTTTTTTTCACTCCCACATTTGTGTATTTTTATTCAAATCAAATTTATTTAATAAAAATAAAAACTGACAGTGAGTGCATGTTTTTTGATGGATTTTTATTATTGAAATAACAAGCTTTCAGATTTATTAATCTGTCAATTCTACTATTTTCTCCTGATAATATGATTTTTTTTATGTTTAGTATATCCATTCTCCTGTGAATCTTTGGTTTCTTATTATTTTCTTAATTTCTTATGATGAATAAATAGTTTTAGAATATTTTAATTTTTTTGGTTAATAATGACAGATAAGGGAATGAATTTGCTTTAGAGAAGAAATTTGACTTTATCTAATTCCTTGTAGCAATTTATTTTATTTATTTATTTATTTATTTTGTTTTTTTGACCTTGTAGCAATTTAACTATAGTGGACCTTAGTACAATTTTCTCCTCTTTTCTTTTTTAATCCTAGTTTGGGTTTGCCCATCTACTTGGAGTTTCTTGAATCTGTGGATTGACGTATTATACCCATTTCGGAAAACCCTCAGCCATTACACCTTCAGTGATGGCTTCTGCCCCCTTCTCTCTCCCCTCTATCTCCCCTTCTGAGTCCAATTACACACACGCAGTGGTAATGAGGCTCACCCATCTCTGCTTCTTCTGTCTTTCTCAGTGAAGGCCCATCAGGGACTTGGAAGGAAAGTCTAGTGGGTCTCTAGTCAAGCATGAAAGACTGTGGCAAATCCACTCGTGACCTTTGGACGTTTCAGTTTGCTGCTTTAGCATCCATGCCCTGCAGCTTTAAAATGTGGCAAAAATCTTGAGGGACCCATCAGCAGCCCTGTCCCTCTGGGGAAACATAATCTCCCAAGCACTTTGAGACTCAGACAGATTTTACTCTGACATTTAGAACCCTTGATCTGGCTCCTCAATCCTTCATGTTCTTCTCCACAACACACAGAATGTCTTGTGGAAAATACCAATCACGTCTTGAGACAGGAGGTGCTCAGTTTCCCTGGGTCCAGGTTTCCGGACATGCCTCTGGGTTTCCAACCACTCCCCAAAGTCTCAGGCCCCTCCTCAAGGCCCTCCCCCAGAGGAAAGCTACTGCTGCCAGCTAGACCTATTTTCAGCACCAACTAGGGGAACAGGAGACCACAAGGGGCTGGCTTTTGCAAATCCAGTGCCTGGGCATGCTCAGTAAAGAGGGGTTATGTAAGCCTGGTAACTGAATGACCTTCCACCACAGGTGCCAGAGAGCCCAGAATATTCTTGAATATGTATTCTTTGAACCACAACAATTTTTAATTTTGATGATATTCAGTTTATTTTTTCTTTCATTGTTTGTGCTTTTGATATCACACCTAGAAAACCATTGCCTAATCTAAGATCGTGAAGATTTACACTTACGTGTTCTTCTGTGAGTTTTATAGTTTTAGCTCCCCCAGTTTGGTCTTGAGGCATCTGAGGGGAAAGGCTGATGGGACCCAGAGCCCTTGCTGGGAGGAAAGGGGTGCTATGGAGGTGTGAGAGGAGGAGCAGCTGTCAAGCAGGAGTGGTGGGACGCAGCTGGGAGGAGATAGCTTGTAAAGCTAGGGCTTACAGACCCCTTGAGTCTGTTGCACAGATTGGGTTACAAACCCTCCACACTCGGGTCTGTGAGCTAGGTAATAGAAAAAAAAAAGTTCTGGGGGCCATGGGTGTAGAAAAATGAATGGGCTTTATTCAGACCTAGGAGCAACTGTCCTAGTAACTTCTCTGAGAGTTCCAAGAAGCACTGTGGAGCAGAGCTGTTAGTCTTTTATACTTTAAGTCCACAACCCTTGACAATTTCCCATACACAATTTACATTAAGAAGTAACAAGGAACACCTGAGGATATTTACAGCAAATGCTTGGCAAGATTCTGAACAACTGAGGGGTCCTGACATTTTCCCATTTTTCCCAACATAGCTATGCTCCTAGGATCAGTGAAGGGACCCTCGACGAAGGGGGCAAGTGGGAAGTGTCTGGAGGACTGGATGGGGGTTTTTGGAGGCGGTTTCTGGGATGAGAAAGTCTGGGGCAGAGCTGTGAGGAGTCTGGAAAGGGAC